TTCACTATATTAATGTGACCCATTAAATGTGCACTTATTTCCAGGACTCACTTCAATCATACGGCTTATTTCTAGCGCTGGCTGCTCTCAACGTTGCTGCAGCAATACTGATCGCTATGTTCGTCAAGGAAACAAAAGGAAAAACACTGCAGGAAATATCAGAACTTTTCGAAGAGGAGCCAAAACTTATTGAATACGGAAGTATTGAATGTTGATTCGAATCTTCCTTTTCAAAAAGGTCCCGCGGGCAGCAATACTTGGACCTAGAAGTAATGGTTCTCAAATTTTAATTGCTTGTTATTTGGTTTGCCTTGGTTTACAAAAACGTGTCTTAGATATGAAGCTATCGTAGAGTGCAATGCTCTAATTCAAGTTGCTCTTTTTGAGACCACTTTAATAAATTAGGAAGTGACTACAATTTTCATTGCAATGTTATACGTTTTGCTTTAAATAAATATTTCTTCGCCTGTGACTGAGTTTCTGTTTAATATTGCCATAGAGCTATTCTCCCTCCATTGTTTATCGGAATCGTTAAAATGTTTCCGGATTAAATGTGAGTTTAGGGCCTGGTAAAGCCGCTGTTAAATCTACTGCGTTAATCCCACACAAATTAGCAAAGTATATCCTGATCGAAAATTTCGAACTAAATTTGTCTGCAAATCAGTCCGGCAATTGAATGGCCTGGAGTGACGCTTGTCTTGACCTTAGTCATTATAGAAGTCCAATGTATTCAGTCAAATGGAGTTCATAGAAAAATTTTTTTCTTGATTTCTGATCTGGAAAACATTCCAATAATTTTGTTTTTTTATCGTATTAGTCGAATTGATACAAAGCCAGAACCACAAAAACTCCCTGACAACTGGTGTCATGCATCCAGTTGCTCGATCTTCACAGTTGCTCCCTGTGCTTAGTTGCACCCTGTACTAGTGCTTAGCACTAGTATATCATTCACTTACTTTGTTGAGACATAAACCTTGTATGAATGAAGTTTTTTAATACGGCCGCCTCCTGTTTGAACTTTGTCGATGAGTTCGCGTAACACCAGATACACATGCAATTTCATTTTACTAATATAATTCACTAATTCGTTATTAGTAAATAATAATATAATAACAATAATCGCGGTTTCAGCGTTTAGTAGGCCGTAGGCCTGTCGCCGATTCTTGATATCGCAGAACTTTCACGGCATTTTGCGGTCTCGAACTCGCAACTCACTGCTACAATTCTCCTTTGCTTAACCGCCTTGCCTCCTTGCCGATTCTGACCAGAAACTGGCGCACAGAGCTGGGATCGAACCCGCTCCTCACTGCGTCAATCATGGTACTCTGAACTGTAACCACTGGACCACCCTACCACACCAATGGGCCACCCAGCCATTGGAATTTTGCCGCTGAAAAAAAGGAGGCGTTATAGTCTACCTCAGAAACTCCATCGCGGCAAAAATTGTATAGCTTTTGCCGGGTACGAAATGTACCGCTGGAATTTTGTAGTGGGTCGGTACCAGAACAAAATTTTTGGGTTGGCCTGACTCTGAATTAGGTGCCGCTTAAAATTCGGAGAGCACGTATCATCTTCTATTTGTCTGCCTCTGCTAAGGGTTTGAAGAGCAGCCTCTGGTCAGTTTGCAAGCTAGATATGACTCAGCTCGGCCAACCTATGTCACACTCTCAGACGACTATAAATTCCTACAAAAAATTCTGACCTTAGGAAGATTACGATCGAGTGGCCAAGTATACTCAGAATTACTTTGCGCAGAAAGAAGCGACAATTCGGCCGAAGCCTAGGCGCTCCCCAAATTTAGTGAACGGGTTAGTGGTTTGTGACAAGTTTTGAATTGCCCTCGAGAAAATCGCCTCTCGCGTACCTCTTGTACAAGTTTTATGGCACTTGCACCTCAGGTTGGGAACCACTGCCGTGAATGTAGACATTGAATGTGCTGTTTCAGGCGGTGGCTCTCTCTCAGATGAAAACAACGGGTGATTTTTAGGTGTGTGATTCAAGGCAGGGGTCGGCCTGTTCGATAAGCCATTCGAGTATCGAGGCATGGCGACGGAGAGCTTTTTCACGCTAAAATTACATAGGTGTAGTTAGCGTTCAGAGGAAGCAGCGCTAAGTGTATTGAAGGACGTAATACCCATAGTTAGATCAATTGGGAATTTTTGGGTTATAATTGGGCTTGGTGAATGTAATATCACTAAAACAAGGGTTTTTGAGAAGCAACTTTTATATCGACCAGTAATGAATAAGCAGTCCCACTCCGTGACGTTTGATGTAAATAAGAAAGTATCCCGACTCAGAACTTAAAAGAGTGATTATGAGGATTCGCAGACGACCAAGACTGCGAGAGGCTACAGAAAGACTTGTAAACAATAACTATTGGGACCTAGTAAATAAAATGCGATTAAACGGCACCAAGTTCGAAGTGATGAGATAAAGAGTCGGCACAGTTACAGGGAAGCTGCATCGCTACTTAGAATCAGAGGGTGCATAAATTGAGGTGAAGCAACTAGTTCGAGAACTCGGAGTGTTGCTGAGTAACGAAGCAACGTTCGTTGACCACATTGAGGAAATAGTTGCATGAGGCAGACAACGGATGGGATGGATTTGGCGGACATTCCGAACGAGAGAAGCAGCGCCAATGATTACGCTAGGGCCCCCATGCTCCCCAACCTTGAGTACGGCTGCCAGCTTCGGGTGCCGCTCAAAGCAGGCGCAGTGCGGAAACTAGAGTCAGTCCAGCGGACATTCAAGTCCAGGATCAGCGGTATGAGGGAACTGGAGCTGAACTACTGGATTAGGTTGAAACACCTGAAACTGTACTCACTAGAGAGGAAAAGAGAGAGGTATATCTGAGATATATATACTGTACACTTGGAAGATAATAACCGGACTGGCTCCCAACTTTGAAAGTGACACATCCAAAATAGTGACATATTACGACGAAAGTAGAGGGAGATTCCTAAGTAAGTAGTAGGGGATTGTAGGGAGAATACTGTACAGGATTCTGTTAACCCACCGGACAATCCCCTACTACTTAATTAGGAATCTCCCTCTACTTTCGTTGTAATATGTTTGTTTCGTTGTAATATATGTTACTATGTCCTCCATTTAACAACCGAACTGCGGCCAGAATTTACACTCTTCATAAGGTATCACTGTCCGTAGCAGGAACGATACTGTCCAATGCTTGGTGGTGCCTAAGGTGCTGAGAGGAGGCGAGTTCACCCTTGCGATATTCAAGAGGATGTAGCGGATCTCGCTACATTGCTACTTTTATATTTAGGAAAATATTTCAGAGAGAAGTCATGCTATCGAACCCGCTTGCGTTAGGCAACATTCATTATTATTATTATTTAGCCGAAATTATTGGTGATAATGTTACTGATGGTGCACCTGAGGAAAAGACGGCAAGCAGCTCGATAACGGTGGCCGTAAGCAACAAAAGAGGTGTTCGTACTTCGTGAGTTTTGATGTAAACGGAGAAATTACGCTATAAAAATTACGTTAAAATGATGATTTATCAGCTCAAATCAGTATTAAATAAATATTAATGATAAGAGACGAAGAAAATATTTGATCTTGATTTGGTTTTGAGTATCTCAGTAAAGGAGCCGTAAAGATTCTTCTTTACCTCATATCTGTCGGTTATTTGAAATGTGAGTTTTTTTTCCCATCGGACATGTTCCTTTTATGTTCTACAGCCCCAACCATCAGAGTTCCTGGTTGATACTGTATTTAGAAATTCAAATTAAGTGGTTCATCAATTGTTAGGGTGATATATTAGTTGTAATATTTAATATAGGCAATAAACTGGACAATAACATAAAGAATTAAAACATTAAGACATTCATTTATTAATGGGCTATATACAAAATGCTCAAACTGTGAGAAAAAAATTAATATCCATGTAAAATATCAGTTCCACCAATAAGATTATATTAACTTGGCTGGTCAGGCTTACGTCACAGGAAACCACCATGAGTCCCCTAACTTGGGAGCTAATCATTTCTTTGATTACAGTCACTCATAAATTAAGCGTTTTATTTTACTAACATGGTTGGTCGACTAAATACGAGTAGTCACGATAGTCGTTGTAAACTAACTACCCTTAAACTACTATAGTGCTTGGACCTAAACGAGGTCCAACGAGTACTTGGATGCAAAATCTATGAAGCTGTTGATTGTTGCCCTAGTGAGCGAGTTTATGATCGAAAAGTCAGATCAAGATGTGACTTTTTCTAGGATTCTAAGATGCTGGTATGTGTTTACGCAAGACCTGCCATAGAATTTTCGCAAGTAAATTGACTGGAATCCGGCGATATTGTTTATTTTTGTTCACTCGACGCTTTAGTTAATCATCTATTGACTGGATCGATCGATAAATTAATTTGCTGAGTGTGAACTACTCTCATTCTGCATTACCGGACGTAACAATGTTATTAAAATATCATTTGAAAAATCACTATGAATTTTTCAAGTTATTCTGATTTTCCAAATGAAGGGTCGCCTGCCGAAGCCCACCACTGCCCTGGATGTAATGGACCATCCTGATTCCTTCCTTCCGTAGCCTTCAACACTTCTGGACAATCATATCTAGGCCGAGCGTCGAACCAGCCCTCGGTCGAACGGCCTATCGTCGAAGGACGATAAATTTTGGAACAGGACAATGCTATCTGAATCGTAACCTCAAATGCGGCGAACGCAAAATTACGTAATTTAACGATGCCCAGAAGTCATATTCGATCCGCGGTCTGGTGGTGACTGGTGCACGGCAGGTTTTATGCAATGCCGAATGAGGACAAAGCCGAGTGGTTCACAGCTGATTGGTAGATGTCCGGAGAGATCCAAGGCGTTCGATTCAGGGCTTGTTGGTGCACAAAATTTGTGGTGCACGGCTGCGCTCCTCAAATGAGTTGCCACCTTCTATTTTTATAATCATTTTCAGACACTACGTATCGGGTCAAGTTTTTGTCGTTTAGTCCGGTTCCGTTCTCCGGTGCGGATCTCAGTTTTTGTTACTGTGTTCTAATAATGTAATATCAGCTGATTAGTTGTGACGCGTGACTTCGAGCGGGGTGAGCGTGCTCGGCGCTTGGGTGTTTCTCAATTTTATTCGTCAACCTCATTTTGTTGACTGTTATTAATTCGCGTTATGTGCAGTGTTTTTGATGGAGATGGAATACAAGAACTGGCTGCAGTTACTACTGAGATTTTGTTGGGGTAAGGCAAGCAACTAACTTGCTAAGCGTACATCTATTGTTAATTGTTACACAATCCCGACCGACAATGTACAGTGATTAGGACAGTGACTGTGCAGTCTGTGCTGAGGACTTTTTCATATTAATTTGTCAATTTGATTGATTTGNTTGACAGTATCTCTGATGCAAGAAATACTGGCTAAATACATTTTAATTTAGAAATTAAGGTCAATCAAAAATTCGAAATTTCTGCTGTCAGGGCTATGTTGGTTCTTGCGAACCGATTGTTGCATCCAGTCGCTTATATTGAAAATAAAATGATTTAAGCAAGTATTTCTTGCATCAGAGATAATTCAAAGTTTGCTAATGTTAACAGCATTATAATACATGCAGTAACGTACATTTTTTTATAGATATTAAAAATTTAGGCTCTATGACTTGTATACTATGTCTATTACAGTCTATAGGATTTTGAATCGATGCATGCATTCAAATTCAAATTAGGTCCACCCACGCCCCACGGCCAGTGTAGCTGTCAGCTCACCTTCTTCAGAAGTGTGAAAGCTTTTGCCGGTGAAGGTGTGTTTTACAATCAGTCCATAAAGAAGTGTTGATCGGTTCAAAATGACATAAGAACAGGTTCTTTTGAATAACCTATGGATTGGCACCATGCCCGGCGATGCATCTTAAAATTACCCGGCGACCCTTAGGGCTTGAAAACCCATATATTGGCGACACTGCATCCACCCTCTGCACCCTGGACTCTGTGTGGATAATCAGGCAAGACAGGCTTCATTTGTAAAGTGCATGTGTCAATATTGATCATTTGGAATTGGCCAAATCAATTATCATCAGGACAGGCATAGCTCAGAGTTTTACTTTCAATTTTTATTAGGCATATTGGAAACTTTCTTCCTTGATCACTTGATGTACCGGTACATGCCAAAATAAATCTCTGCACAGAAAAAATCAGTGTACCTAAATCACCGTGTGGTACACCTCACGTTTCTGACACAGTAACACAGGCTTGTAGTTTGATATAAATAAACAATTAGCCTATAAATATCATATTTACCCTACCAGTATATTTTTATATACCTACCTATAATTGAAATTTTTATCCAATATCTTATATACTGTATTTCGGTATTTCCTTTCAATTTTTAAGTATGATAAACTTTTTCTCAAATAAATTAGTTTGTCCACATCAATTCAGAAATTCCTATTATATAAATTATGTAGCTGAAAAATTGCTACAAAAAACAGGTTTTTAAAATATATAAAAATAGTTGAAATGTTATGCAGAATTTTCCTAAAAATCTTCCTCTTTAGTTTCAGTTTGAGAGAAAACTGTTCTCAAACTAAAGAGGAAGATTGGCCAGAATAAACCTGGGCTGTGAATTCAAACAAAATGCTGGTAGCTAAGCCTGGCCAATTGTACTGTTTATATGGCCTTTTACTTTTGGCAATTTATTTGGTGAAAAATATGAAAAACTGCCAATTTAGTATTTTTACCTATGAATTTTAAAATTACTAGTTAAATCATCAAATGATCATTTTTACCTACAATTTTAGGAAAATTCTGCATAACATTTCAATTCTTTTTATATACCATCCAACGGGGTAAAAAGGGACGGTTTTGAGCATTTTTTGTTAACAACTTCTTACCATGAAACATTTCAGAAAAAGGTTTAGGCTCATTTTATAGCTCTTTGCAAGGGTTATCGAATGGCATCTTCAAAAAAATTCCATATGCTATTTGTAAGCTGCTAGACGCAATATAAAAGGCTCTTGAATTAATCTGAAGATAAGGTAAAAAGGGACACTTGAAATAAAACTCAACTTTAAATATTTGAAGCATGCAGAGTGTACTCATCTATTACTAACAGTAGGTACTCTAAAGTCCTCTTCTTCCTTTGTAGATGATGTAAATGTAGAATAGATGAAATTTTCTGTGATTTTTACTTGGTTTTTCTTCATTGATATAATATTACCTCTTTCATACATTACTGTAGGTACTATTAATGTGATATTTCTGTATCCATGGACATGCCATTGAGCATTGTCAATGACCTTGTCCACTGCAAGCTTCATATCAGCAGCCATGTAGCATTTCTTCTGTAGGTATCTGTAAGCTTACAGGATGGTTTGTAATTTTGCACAATTTAATCGAGTCTAGTGATTTCACAATAACAAAAAAGATTGTGAAAAACATACCTGAAACAGAAAATAATGTTTTAGTGACAACCATCATATGTTTTGAAGAAATAAATTATAAATCATAGTTTAGGTCAATTAATTTTCATTCTATGATGCCCGGTGCACAATTCTATATATAGCTTGCAGTGGACAAGGTTGTTGTAAATGCTCAATGGCATGTTCATGGATACGGTAATATCACATCAATAATACGATAATTGCACATCAATAATACGGTAATTAATGTATATGGCAATATCATATCAATAAAGGAAAAACAAGTAAAAATCACAGAAAATGTCATTTATTCTACCTCTACATGATCTACAATGAAAAAGGCGGACTTCAGAGTACTGTTAGTAATGGATGAGTACGCTCTGCATGCTTCAAGTGTTTTAAAATGAAGTTTCATTCCCAGTGTCCCAAGTAGCCCCGTTCGACGGGGCTACTCGGGACACTCTTTTTTTGCTTCTGGCACCTTACGAATAGCATATGAAATTTTTTTGAAGATGCCATTCGATAGCCCTCGCAAAGAGCTATAAAATGAGCCTAAACTTGTTTGTGAAATGTTTCATCGTAAGAAGTTATTAACAAAAAACGCTCAAAACCGTCCCGAGTAGCCCCGGTTGACGATAATAGGAATTTCTGAATTGATGCAGACAAACTAATTTGTTTGAGAAAAAGTTTATCTCACTTGAAAATTGAAAGTAAATATATAAGAAATTAGAAATTTCAATTATATGTCAAAAATATAAATATGATATTCATAATTGTTTATTTATATCAAACTACACGCCTGTGTCAGGAACGTGAGGTGTACCGCACGGAGATTTACAGATTTTTTCTGTGCGGAGATTTATTTTGGCATGTACATGAAGGAAGAAAGTTTCCAATGTGCTTATTAAAAATTGAAAGTACAACTCTGAGCAATGCCTGATAATGATTGATTTGGCCAATAACAAATGATCAATATTGACACATGCACTTTACAAACAATGCCTGATTATTGACACGGACACATACTTTTATGATGAATGTGACCGTTGCCCAATGATTGACAGTTTGACACTGATGCATGCACTTTACACTCAAAGTGGTCAATGCCTGATGATTGACACAGATGCACATGCTTTAAAAACAATGTAGCCGATGCCTGATGGTCAACACTAGTGCAAATGCTTTACGATTGATGAGGCCAATTCCTGATGATTGACACTGACACATGTGTTTTACAATCGATGTGGCCAATGCCTGATGTTCAACACCTAAGCATGCGCAAGAGTGAAAGCCTAGAAATCTTATGCAATTGAAAGAAATGTACAAGGAAGAGTAGGCTAAAATTCCTATTAGCATATGTGTAAATCTTGTGAACAAGGATTCTAATTGGTTTAGAAGCAGTTTAGTCTGGTAAAGGTAACATGATGGTATTGAGTACAGTAAATTTGTGTTTGATACATTTTGAACCTTGACTTTTAGAAAATTGTAATTATCAAGTCAGTATTTGACAATATTGTTTTTTGATATGATATATGTATTTACCAATTGTATGTTTTTGATTAGTAGTTTTGATTAGTAATTAAAAAACTGTATGTTTTTGATTAGTACCATTTCTCTATTACAATTACATTTTCAGGTCAAATTCTGTTTGCCGAAAGTGTCATTTGCAGCCGGTAGAGGTCATTCTCCACAAAACTGATCCATATTGCAAGTGAGTCATTAGATGTAAAGGTACATATATTTGTAGTCTATTATGATTGTATCAAGTTGCCACAAGAACAAATCAATGCCTACTACATAAAAAATGCTTGTCAGGTAAAATTTACCTCCTAATTGAAACCAAAATGAAAGCCTGAATACTATATTTTGAAAAAGCTCATTCGCATTGTTTCAATCATATATAAGTTTTTTCTTGTAAATTTGATTACAATAAAGTTAATTACAGAAAGCAATTGGTTCTCTCTTTGGTTTAGTGTTTGTCTATTATGTATAGTACCCTCAAGCGGGGTAATAAGGGACGGGTGGGGTAAATTGGGTCAATTGTCCCACATTTTGTAGAAACAATGTAGCAGCTAAAGTAATCAAAATATTGCAAAACAAAAAAATAGTGGCGTAAAGTTCAACATTTTTATTATCTATGTAGCATAAGTTTAGAAATCATACATTTACTACCTCTACAAAATCCCTGAAAAAAAATGTGAGAAGTGAGATTTTGGAAACGTACCTCTGCTAAGGCCTGTAGCAAAAAAAATACATTTGTCGTATCAAAAAAATGTTTTCCTTGTAAAATTTGCACACAGGTGTTGGCTTGAAAACGTGATTGACAGAATTTGCATATCTCATTTCATAAAATAATGACAGCCATTTCCGCAGTATGGGGTAATAAGGGACACCTCTAAAAATGCATTTACAGTAGAACCTCAATTACCAAGAGCTGCAGTTAATGAAATAATATGCATTTAAAATTACTTTTTAAAGACAAAATTTCCAAAGAATCCAGTGTCTCTGATGTTACCCATGTACAATGAATTTCTTATTTATTACCATAAATTAAAAATAATTAATTTTTAAAATTTGAAAATTTGTTCAAATTTTTCAAAATCATTCATTCTGTCACTTGATTCATGCATTGTCTCCAACTTTACACAATTGTGAGGGAAAATTCCAGTTCAATTGGACATGTAGAAGTGTGTTAAATAATTATAAGATATGTACCTAATAGTGGACAAAATTATTTTTTTCAATTTTCCTTGTTATCAAAAATTAAATTAATTGTACAGGTAGAAGTGTAATAAATAATTATAAGATAATAAGATAGGTATGTAGTGGACAAAATGATTTTTTTCAATTTTTACTATCAAAAATAAAATTGATTGTACAGGTAGATGTGTGTTGAATATTTATTAAAAGATTTGTAGGAGACAGACAAACAAACGAACAAACAAGAAGTGAAGTTAACCCATTAATGACGAGAATTATTTACTGAATTTTTTTTTGGTTCGTTGTGAGAATATTATCATTTGTGATGGTAATAAACAAAAAATATACTCATATATTTATTTTTCGTTGTATGTGAAAAATTATAGCTTGGTTCCATATGGAACCGCTCGGCATTAACGTAACGTTTCTTCAAACAACACTTTTTCCGATAGTAAATCAAGCAAGGTTATGCATAATGGATAATACGTATTCATAATGGACAATACTGATGATAAATCAATCATGGCAGAATACAATCTAATTTTTAGCATAGAATTCTTCCATTCATTCAAAATGAACAGGAAGGTTTCCCATTTTACGAATGTTTGTGGGTGCGTTCTCAACATTGTTTACGAAGCACTGCATTTGCAGTGCTTCTGATGTCTCTTTGCTGGCCAATGTTGTTGATTGTTGTATTGCACTTCATCAAGGATCGAAGTAGAAGGGTGCACTATAGACCCTGATTGTTTAATATAGGGTCTCCTGCATTATTGCATTTCCTAACCAATCTTTTTGAAAATTTATTGCACTAGCCATTCTTTTTTTTTCAAATGTTTTTTGAGAAGCCAAATGAGACCAGAATGGATATCATATATAATATGTTGGCTTGGGACCAATTGTATCATGTTTATGGGACCAATCCATGTTCCAGCCCATGAATAAGTTTCTTTTTCTATTAGATCCTTTGATAGGCTTCAATTGCAGGAAAATCATCTGATTTATCTGCTGCCCAAAGTTTATAACTAAATCTCGCGGGCTAGCCTCGTATATGTCGTAGTATATGGCCACAGTTGACTTTCTTCTCTATCGAAAGTCATTGTTTTCACATTTGGTGATTACTGTTGCTGCAATGACTATTCTCGATAGGCGAGCAGAATTGCTAGTGGCTGCGTCATCTGAGTTATCTGAATCGCAGTATGTTTCGTTTGTTGCTGCTTCTGTGAAAGGTTCAGTAGCAAATATTTGATCTTCATGTTATTCTTCTCTCGAAATCTCAATTATTTCATGTGTTGATCTGCCAAAATACAATTAGAAAAAAAGTGACTCGGGATGAACAATCGTATAGTGTTCAACGTACCTACTTCCAAATATTTCAACTTTCGGGATATATATTCCTAACAGCTCTAAAGATAATAGTTCACTAACAAATAACAGAAAGACAGTTGATCTAAGATCTAAATAAATAATTTCTAAGTACAAACAAGTTTTTGAAATACAATGCGCAACTATATCGCAAAAAAATCTACTGGGAAAGTGAGATGACCGGAATGCTTACACTACTGCCGAGCGGTTCCATTTGGAACCAGACAAAATATTTCATGATCTAAAAGACTTTTAGAAACATTATATCACGTAATACCATATACAGAATCAAAAGTACTCTCTTTATCGATAAAATTCTGCATCTAACTGTTAAATAATATATTTTTAGAACGAACTACTTACATTTCTCTGCAAAGATGTCAAGCCCTCCTGTCTGACACCCGGTACTTACAATCTTTTAATGTTAACTGAGTAGGGAGTAGTTGGTGCAGCAGAACCAAACGTTGCCGGAACACGTACAAGATGTGTATCACACCTACGCATCCGCTAGTATATTGATTTGACCATACAATTTTATTATGAATCCATTTTTTTCCTCTGGTTCCAAATGGAACCGCTCGGCATTAATGGGTTAATGAGAAGTGTTGTCAAATCTATTAACAACAAAAATTAGCAAAAAAAAAATAGCATACCTTGCTCAGCGAAAAAAATTTCACATAATGAAAAATTGACGCATCATCAGTCATCACAAAATTGTGCATAGGATGTCATGGATATAATTGTTCACCAGGCAACATATAGTGAAAACTAATTAACCTAATGTATGATTTATTCCTCCAAAAAATATGCTGGTTGTCACTAGAGTAGTATTCCTTTCTGTCTTGGGTAGGTATGTTTTTATGATCTTTATTTTTTGTTATAGTAAATTCACTTAACCCAATTAAAATGGTGTGAAATTACAAGCCTTCCTGTAAGCTTACAGATACAGAAAAGTGCTATATGGCTGCTGATATGAAGCTTGCAGTGAACAAGGTTGTTGTAAATGCTCAATGGCATGTTCATGGATATGGTAATATCACATCAATAATACTACAGTAATGTATGAATATGTTAATATAGGTATCAATAAAGGAAAAACAAGTAAAAATCCCAAAAAATGTCATTTATTCTACATCTACATCATCTACAAATGAAAAGGAAGACTTCAGATCACTGTTAGTGATGAATAAGAAGACTCTGCATGCTTCAAACATTTTAAAATAAAGTTTTATATCAAGTGTCCCGGATTACCCAATTCCTAGTGGTAATTTGGGACGCTTTTATTTTGCGTCTGGCACCTTACATATGGCATATAAAATTTTTTTGAAGATGCCATATGATAGCCCCCGCAAAGAGCTATAAAATGAGTTAAACTTTTTCATGAAATAATTCATGCTAAAAAGTTATTAACAATAAACGCCCAAAACCATCCCTTATTACCACGTTTGATGGTACAGTATGTCTTTGCAGCTCAGTTTGAAATTATATTTCATTATTAATTATTGAGGTTGAAGTAAACTTGAAAACTCTAATGGTGAAATTTTCAGTACTAAAGCTTAAACTACCGGTAGTTTTAATCATTTTTTTTTCTTCAGAAAATGTTTCTTAGCATTTGCAACCCACAAATTCCGATCTTGCATTGGCAAGCACAAACTCCTCCCTGCTGGATGTCCCATGGTGGTTGGGGTCAGTGGGGGACCTTCTTCCTCTGCTCTTCTCCACTTCATTCATCAGGGCATAACTCTGACGAGCTTAAAAAAGTTGCGAATTGATCCCATTTTCCTTCACATTGATGGTGAGTGGCTATCTATTTGTAAGTTTAGATATAATTTTACTGTAAACTTTGTTCCTGTAAAGCATACATATTATTCAAGATTTCTGATGATAGATTAATGCAAAATGAATTTTTCTGTTGCATTAGAGAGGAATTTTGGCATGCACAGTGGAATCTGTTGAATCTTTTTTTATATTTTGAAAAGCCTATTTCTTGGGACAAGGTTTTGCATGTTCATGATGTCTCTTTCAGAACATTGTTCTCCTTTTTCAATGCATGAGGCTGATGGTATTGATGTGGCTGAGAGAGCCTGTCGAGCTGTTACCAAGCTGGGACTCAAGTGTTATTACACAACACTAGAGACTATCCTTGCAGAGAAACCTGTTACACCCCTACCATTCCTTCAGGTCAGCCAAAAAAATCATATTGGTTGTTAATTTTATCCATTGATATAGAACACTGCAAATTTTTAGCCATTTACATTATCTACAAAGGTTTCTGTAAATTCTATTTACTGAACTTAAACTTTGATATTACCTATATGTAGAAGGCTCTATAGGTATTTTCATTGTCTCACATTGAAGGTACAAAGGTCAGAAATTTGTAACACCCACTAGATACTGCTTGGTCATGCAGCAATAACACTTGAAAGTGATTTGTATAACTTCTTTGATATTTTAAGCAACTTCTGTAAAAGCATCAGTATTTCTTTGTTAAGTGACTTGTGGAGCTGCTTCAATATTTATTTGTTCAGGGCAGCAGCTGTGCACAGCTTCGTGACCGTCTTACAACACCTTTACTGCGGACCAAGATGCAGTGTTTATTGCAGTCCTGTGGATCATTGACGGCTCAGGAGGTTGAGAAATATTCTAATAGGTGCTAATAGATGGTGTCAAAGCTGAATTTTTTGTTAAGTGTGATGAATATAGTATTGCCAAAACACTTTATAGGTACATACATCCATGGTTTTGTTTGAAATTTGAACTTGGGTAGGTTCTTAAAATTTTTGTAGGTACTTAATTTTTGATAAATAGATACAAAATGAATACCTACTGTTCATATTTATGGTAGGTATTTCCCATGTTATTGATTCAAATTATGTAATGCTAATGTTCTATTATTGTTTTTTCCCACCTGTATATATGTTGAAAATTCTAGATTTTAAATGCATTCTGAAGATGGCAAATGTAGGTAGATTTTAATCATATTTGATCTTCCAAACCTTAAATATCCAAGACCTTTCTTTTATCACAATACCTTTTGGATTTTTCTGGAAAAGTAATTTGCAGTTTCATCTCTGCTTTCTGTCTCATTTTATTTTTGCAGGTCTTTACACTGAACGTTCGCGTTTTTACTGGTATATAGCATGATCTCAAAATTTCTCGGTTGAGAAAATGATTGGCTTCATAGTGAAATTCCATCATTAGTGGAAATACCGTATGTAGAATAGGTAACTCCCACATGACCATAAGCCGGATGTTGTGCACAGAGTGTGTGGCAGACTCTGCTGCAGCGCTGCCTGGTATCAGCATGTGCTAGTCTCGATCATTCGCGCCTCATGCTCGGCACCAGCGCCAGTGCCATCGCTGCCACCATACTCTCGTTCATGGCTCAAGGCAGAGGCGCTTACATCCCACAGCATGTGGTCAGTGGTACAAGCTTTATAACAAACTTGTTTTAGTTTCTATAGGTAAACTTTTGAAAAATTAGATGTTTCACAGAATAGGTATCTACTTGCAAAGTTACAAGAAATACATAAAATAATTCCAAGAAAACTTGTTCAGTAGCTTGACATATCGTAATGATGCATTAATGCTATTTATGACTCCTAAATTTTTAAATTCTGGTCCTTGGCATCCTGTAATTATTAAAAATATTTCTATTAATATGTTCAGTCTTTCTGCACTGTGGACCGAGTGATGGGAGTGCATGTGTACCGACCTTTGCGGGAGCTTATGGCGGATGAGCTGATGCATTACAACAGACTCATGGACATAACCTTCGAGGACCCACCACAACATGTGAGTTCTTTCCTAACAAGTAACAATTGTGTCTTTGCTTCTATGTTCATATGACTTGACTGCTGGGTCCTAGAGTTCTTCAGAACCAAACAAAAAATTTGTTCTTGCTTCCTTGTTAATTTAGCCCAACGACTGCAAGGCAATGTGCACTTCTTAGATTCAAATCCTAATCCAGTTTTTGGTGCTGTGTCTTTGTAGCTCAAAGACCGCAGAAGGATGTGAGTTACTTAGAACAAAAAATAAATTTCGTCTTCAATAATAAATATCCCGATTTATTGATTGTCAAACTGAACTGTGAGAGGTGCAGCAGTCACTGAAGTGAAGCACCCGGTAGGAAGCCTGTTATGACAACCTGGTAGTAGTTTGTGATAACTCTTATTGTAATCATGCAGTGGATCCCTGATGTCGGCAGAAACACTGTCATATGCTGAATAACAGTACCTTAACATAGATTAAGCCGTCTGGAAGAAACGCAATAAAAACACTACAAGTATCCTTCATGAAAAAACGTTTACTACGGGTCATTTTGAATTACCAATTTCCTTATCGCTCATATTCTGCTATTATATGTGAAATTATTCAGTTGAAGCAGCACATAATGTTTCTGTTATTTCTTTCAGGAGTGGTTATATTCACGCTGTAATTAATATAGCTATATGTTTATTTTAATGATAAATGAGGTTTTTATGCCAAATTTATTTGGAATTGATTTCCTTAACTGTCTGCTGCCAGCTATGCACTGGCCAGCAGTCCAGCTGTTTGTACACTGGAGAATAGTACAATATCTTTATTCGCTTTTGATATACGTACTACTTCAATTTAGTCCCTTCTCTTCAGCCGTCCTGGAAGCTCCTCGTCTACTCAGCTGCTTAATTTTTACACCCTGAAGATGATCGATGGTGTGCGAAATGCGTCGCCTTGTTTATCATCCATTCATTTGGAGACATTTCATGACTCGTTGACCCAACTAATGTACCAACTATTAGACAGCTGGAGAAACTAAACTCCAAGGAAGCTAAGATTAAAAACGGCACTTTTTTTAATCAGAATTGTCTTAATGAAAGGCTTCACCCAACATATACGGATTGTATACTTATGATTATTTGATTCATTCGTTCAACACATGCCCAAAACGTTCATTTGATTTATGATAGATTTTGCTCTACAGCTTTCCAGTCATATGATCTGTCAAACTGAAATTTAAGCTATTGTAAAAATGTGCTTCAGAACGGTACGGTGAACGGCTGCACACACAACTTCCTGGGGCGCTTGCAGTCAGAGTTTCCGAGCACCGTACCGACGGTGTTCCGCACTGGCGACAAGCTGCTCGCTTACGACATCAAAGCATCCACAGCTTCCAGCACATTGTCCATCAATAGCTCCGGTATACCTTCCAATGGTGATGGTGTGGAGCCAGCTGTTGCAGAAGGTGCTGAGCCAGCTGCTGCTGAAGGGAGCGAGCCAGCTGGTACCGAGCCAGCTGCTGCTGAAGTTACCGAGACAGTTGCTACTGAAGGTACCGAGCCAGCTGCTGCTGAAGTTACCGAGACAGTTGCTACTGAAGGTACCGAGCCAGCTGCTGCTGATGAAGGTGCTGAGTTGTGTGGTTTTTGCTTCTGTACCTTGGATACCACTCAGCCTGAAGCCTCTGCCTTGTCAGCGACTGTTGTTTCCACACGTTTGTCCAGGGCTCGTGCCTACGGTGATATTGACTCGGACATGCGGGCAGCTTCTACAGAATTAAGCCTTGAAAACAACGTAAAATCAAAGCCTTCAGGAACTGTATCGCTCGAAGACTCTGATCAAACATCTGTGTCTGTAGTTGGTCTTGATTCTGCCTCACATGATGGATATACTGTCATCATCTCTAAAGCAGATCTGGACTCTGTTTTGTGCTACGGCTGTCGAATCGCACTGAATTCTGTGGTGAGTCCATATAAAGGTCAATATCTATCCATTAAAATTCATGCTAAAACCATTTCAAGATATATGTATGGTTTGGAATTGAGCTAATAGCGTTACTAAATGTATATGTGCATTTCCTCGTGAGAATTATTGCATAAACGTTCGACTTATTTTGGATTGTTTTGCAGACTGACGCCACGTTGCTGCCAATTGATCTACAGAAAAGAGCCACCGCCGCTTCTTCTGTGAGAAGGGCTCAGCGAGGGATGAATGTCGACCAGCATACCTCAGTACACAATGAGTGAAGAACTTTTTAATTTATCCTTTTTATAAAATTTTTAGCCGCGAATTGAGTATGATTAGACTGACAGTGTCTTCGTGAATATCTCTCATAGTTGCTTGTTAGCCATTTTTTTTTGTCTGCTCATTCGTGGAGGAATGGCATCATTATGGCTGAAAATTAATTTTAATGAACTTTGTTATTAAATCTCTATCGAGGGACTCCTACACATTTTCGTTTCACTAGGCGACACTCATTGAAATATTATGTTCCTAATATATTTGTATTTAGTTTCAGAAGTAACGAACACACCAGGCAAACGACATTGAAACAACGTTTATTTTAACATTGATTCATCGTTTTTTTTTTTTGAAAGTAATAAACTTTGTCAGCACTAAGCCTTCGGGTGGAAAATCGTGAATTTAACAAAACAAAATTCAAAAAGAAGCCCCCTGTAATTTCGATATTTTACGGCTGGGCTGGTGGCTTGTGCCCGAGAATCTCGATGAGTTGCGCGTCTGTTTTGATTGCCTGTAGTTTGTCGTCACTGATGAGCCCTAGCAGATTGTAGGCATCCTCGTGCTGACTGAAGTCTATACCTTCACCCGGGGCGGTGCAGGTTTTCTGACTCACAACTTTGAAGAGGCTGGTATCGAGGCCGGCTTCAGCAGCCTTTTTCTTAACCTGAAACGAGATACCAGTAAATTCATACGAGTTATTCCACTTTGAAGGTTGGACTGAGTGCATAATTCTTCCAAATTTGATTTGCAAAGTAAACCTGATTGGACAAACGAATATCCCAATTTTGGTTAAGAGTCACAAGTGTTCCATTAGTTATTACTCAATTCGTATTTTGTTGTGATGCATTTGAGTTACCTCTTCCATCACTGTTGGGTCAAGAAGAGTCTCCCTGGTGAGGATTGTAGCCGAATAGTAGCGTCCGAACAAGAATGACCTGCACTCGTATGTTAGAGCGTAATTCTTGTAGTCGGTGTCGATCACCGTGTACGCCATGCGTCCCAGTATCGCTCCTGTGAGGCAGAGATTATGAACCGCTTCAACGACTTCACCTCTACTCACGACGTGGTTCGGCTACGATTAATTGAAAGTGAGTATGGGAGGGTGGTAATATTGAATTTTGTGTAAAGTTCTCGCATTATCTTCGACTCACTAGCATGTGACGCGTTTTTGTACTAATCCTTGTATGCTGACGTCTTGCATGTTATGGCGGAATGCCCGAGCCACAGTGATACCCGGCAAAACTACTACCCCAACACCACTCCTCTCAGCCCAAATGAAATGCTCTCCAGGATGCTGAGGGAAGTTCCCCGAAGCACCTTTAGCACCGACAACCTTAGACAATACCTAATCGAGTGTAACCTGCTGCCAGATATCTAGCACGGCACCTTGACAGAGGTCACAAAAGACCCACACCTCCGACAAGACACCATATTCGTGTCATCATATTACTGGTTGAGATGAAATAGCAGAAGACGGATAGAACCTGCGCCTTGGAAATAGAGAAGCATACACTATAGACCAGATGGATCAGGCTATGAGCCTGAAACCAACGAAGAAGCCTGCTGACCCTGCAAAACGAATATTGGACCTTCGGCGCGAAATAGACGACACTGATCTGAAGCGCTAGAAACCTCTCCCTACTACTACTACTACTACTTGTATGCTAAGGTTTAAGCAGTGCAGTGCAGTTTAAGAAGATGTATCCTTGTTCACTGTATTACGAGACGCGCGTAGAGCCACCTGACTGGTTACCTGACAGCGGCCACTTGATGGTCATCTTGGCCGGGGCCTCTTGGGGCCCCGTGATGATGGTTCCCACGTACGTGGTTGTGTGCTTCACATTAACCGCGTCCAGGGCAGGCAGTTGCCGACCCTGAGTGGCTTTAATTTCAGTCGTCGAGTTCGGTATCGCCGCGAACGTGAGTGTCATGCACGTGTTGATGTTCGCATAGACTTCGTTGATGAACCATTTTCCGAAGAACTGAAAACAAATGGTGCATTATATACGGCGGTTTTTGTTCCGTTAAGCTCTGATTGAAAACTAGAATTAGATAATAATAAATAATAGCGGTTTCAGCGTTTATTAGGCCGTAGGCCTGTCGCCGATTCTTAACATCGCAGAACATTCACAGCATTTTGCGGTCTCGAACTCGCAACTCATTGCTACAATTCTGCTGTGCTTAACCGCCCGGCCTCCTTGCCGTTTCTGACCAGAAACTGGCGCACAGAGCTGGGGTCGAACCCGCACCTCTCTGCGCCAATCTTGGTACTCTGAACTTTAACCATTGGGCCACCCTGCAGATAAATCAAGATAACTCAGATAATTTTTAAATGGGAATTGTTAAGAAACCACGGCGCTTACAGGGAACGGAACTGAAGTTAACTAAATGGAAATTCACTTTTCGAGCATTTAAGGTAATGTGTATGGTCCAAATTGCCGTTCTCAAGTCTGACCTGATTGACATCAAAGCTCTTCATAGATGGCACGTCGGGGCACGGCCCTATGCCGAGCTTGTGCCCCGCTGCGCTGCCCAGCGTCAGCAGCAACACGACAGCCATTACAGGGTTCACTGCCGTCATCGCTTGTTTCATCTCGGAGAGAATCTTTGATAATAATTAAATCTGATGGCGATTTTTATGTAAGGTCACGTGTTCAATTATAAGGCAAACATTTTCTGCCATTTATTGGTAGAATTCAGATGAAAACTAAAACATTATTTGAAAATCAAGCATGCACAAGATCCTTGATTTGCTATAAAACGAAATCACGGTGCATGGACTGTACGTTTTCAATAATTTGGCAATCAACGTTTGTATTCGATATAATTTTTTAATTGAGCTTTATCACAAATCGGAATCATAGCTGGTCACTCTGTTTTTTTTTTTATTATTGAACGAGGTATTTCAATTATCTGCCGAACAGTAAATGTGATCGTTTGACAAAGGAACCTTATACGCAAAATTCGAGTTAATGCAAGGCTTCCGTATAGACATAAACGTGAGCTCGATTTAAATTCTTGCGCCTTTAAAGCAAACACAAAGAGGTTTAAAGTGATTAATATATTTTTATTCATTTATTGTTCATTAAGCAACAGTGTTAGTTAAATTAAATTTGATTTCGAATACTATATGTGAAGAGACGATGGCTTGAAGCCTGCGAGACTCACCTCGACGCTTGTGGACCCTAGAGACCAAATGCAGTGTGGGGCGCCTGACCGTCCTTATATACCGCGGACGCTGCTACGCCGCAGGCGTCGCCACTTGTGCATGCTTTGTGTGGGAGTTCCTGTGAGCTGCGTTGCTCTTGCGTAAATTCCTCGTAAGTCACACAACACTTCTTATAATGTGTAACACATGAAATAATATTTCATGATATCCGAGATTATGCGCATCAGTGGTAAGTTTATTATTATATTTGTCGAAGGAAATGATCGAGTAAGAATATTTAAACACGTGTTATTACTTTTGATGTTATTCTGTTATTCAGCTACCTGAGGTTTCATTCTAAGTAACATTATAAGAAATAGATCGCCGCCTGTGTCTGACTAGAACTAAAAGCGTTAGCCGATTATATCGCACGCAATTATCACAAGAGTGATTGTACTGGAAGTGGTGAACCATACTTGTGTGGTAGGTGAGCTCGTCGCTGGTGCGCGGCGCCATTTAGCGATAATAATCGAGCAGCACTTCCCGCCACCTGTCTCTATTATCCGTCTGTAGAAGTTGAAGATTGTTTATACGGTTTACCGTGCCGTTGGAGACTAAAATGTAGAGTTTCCTTAGACGGTTTTATTGTCGTTCGTGTTCGGATCTTGATCTGTTTGATCCACTTAAATTTTGAATCGAGTGCTAAAATTTTACTCGAGTCTTAGCATACTGCATTTCTCACACGTACTTTTCTCTCTCATTTTAATATTTTGCGTTGTATAACTATTTTCTAGTAGCTAATAGAGCTCGCTCGTATGTCTATTTGTTTAAAGCAATCAGGCGTTAGTTTCGTTTCAGCTTATGTTAATATTTTCAAAATTTGGCCATACGGTCTCTTTGATGCTAATTTTGCTTTTACTTGACTACTCATTTTTTTTTCTACCTATCAATGTTGGGGAAAATGACTGACGTCACTTTCTCTTTGCGAATAGGGCACATGGAAAAATGCTATATATTAAATCCCAACATCTGGACGATTTAAGGCATTGCCTGGAAACTGTTCTCAATGGCGCTAACCTCCACACCATCCTCATCACGCAATCGAAGGTCACCTCAACAGCTGGATCGTGAAATGAGGCTCAGGATGCACTGCTTAATTGCACCTCACGCGGTAACTCTTCCATAACTCAAGATGATAACAGAATTTTGAATAATGGAAGTTAACATATTCTCTTGTTGATTTTAATTTGTTTATGATCTGACATCTGACAAAAAATTCAATGAACATTTTGTATAGCACCAGAAATATTTAAATGGCTTGAATCTTCCATGGAAGGCTGCACCTAACTTAGAGACACTCCCCCTCAGGGGGGACTTCCATGTCTGTGCTCGTCAGAAGTCCTATGGGATTTCGCGCTCCTAGGGGGATTGTTCCTGAGCGCCCCACCGCTGAGCTCGCGGTGCCTGACTGCAAGTCTCAGTTGTCGGGTTATGTTATTGTGTAGGTAGGGTTCCTTACATTAAATTATTATGTTGGTAGGATTCCTTACATTTCCCTTCTCTGTCTCTCTCGTGCGGGCGGCCGACGTCCCGTGTAAGCGACCTCTTGTTCGAGTGTCTTCGTTGTTTCTGTTGCTTTTCACCTGTCCATCCTTGTCACTTAATAATAATAATAGCGGTTTCAGCGTTTATTAGGCCATAGGCCTGTCGCTGATTCTTAACATCGCAGAACATCCACAGCTTGTTGCGGTCTCAAACTTACAACTCACTGATTCAAATTTTGCTGTGCTAAACCGCCCGGCCTCCTTGCCGATTCTGACCAGAAACTGGCGCACAGAGCTGGGATCGAACCCGCGCCTCTCTGCGCCAATCTTGGTACTCTGAACCTTAACCACTGGGCCACCTGCCCTTCACCTGCCTGGGCCACCCTGCCCTTCACTTCGTCTCTGTGAGATGCTAAACGCTGCTTCTTTCGAGCCAGCTTCAACGGGCTGGACAATTGAGACCTTCCGCCCCTTGTGGGTTATGAACAATTTTTGATTTGAGAAACTTTTGAAAATTAAGGCCTTCCGCCTCTTTGGTGATGTTCATCTTGGCTTTCGGTGCGAGATAGCTAAATAGCCGAAGGGCTAGTAAACATGTGGTCACTAAACTAACTTCTTTCGAGCCAGCTTCAGCGGACTGCTGGACAACTGAGACCTCCCGCTCGTTGTGGGTGATGCTGATGATGTTATGTTTTGATGTTATGATTGCCGATGATGTTTTGTTTTGACCTCCGGTCAGTCTGGTGCGAAATAGCTTGATAGCTGAAGCGCTAGCAAACTATTTTACTACTACTACTTGAGACACACGTAATTCTTGCCTGTTACTTAGTTTGTATACCAATAAACAGCATTAAAATTGATTAATCAAATTTTTGGTTTGTTTCATCATCATTTAGCCACACGATTAACAAAAAATATAACTCAGTACTCACTGCAGTGAGTCATAGTTCAACCATGCAGTGAGTGACGGAGAGCGCATTTTCTCGTCGACGAAAACGTGAAGTCACGGACGGACTGACGGACATGGCGAGCGCAATACCTAGTGCATTTTTTCCATAAATGAGAAAATGCGCTAAAAATGCATATTTGTATAAAGAATTTTTGAAAGTAATAGCGGCTATACCAACCAAAAATTTATTCCTTACGTTGTAGTGTAAGCGTTAAATTTATAAAAAAAATATATATATATATATATATAGACGTTACGCTTGAGTAATTGTCAAATTTATGATAAATTTTACGTCTTGTAATTATAGCGTTAGGTAGATTGGGCCAAGGCTTAATATACGCAAAATTAGAGTGCGTAAAAGAATTACTGATGATATAAAGTAATTCAATGGAACATTGTGGCCATGGTCTTTGAATAGCTAGAAAAACGGAAAGTAACAGGTTGAGTAATGTACAAGGCAGACGCTTGCCATTTAAGCTCGAAGTTGCACATGAAAGATATAGGTCGGCAGTAGGCTGACTAGGCTGAAGGCTCTGTTGCCTATATTTGTTGCCTCTTATCATGAGGTGAGTATTGAAATTTTGAAACACTTCTTTTTAGTTCCGACCAAATGTTCAAATTTTGAATTGCTGTTTTTGCAAATCAAATGCATTGCAACTGTGAAGAGCTACTAGGGCCTCCGGCCTAGTCATCATATTCTTGCAAACTATAATTTTGATAAAATTTCAGGAAAAGGTTTTAAATGGATTAATCAAAACTAGTACAGCTTTTCATTTCATTTAGAGCTTGTAAACTGCACACATACTAGTGATAGGAGCTAAATGCTGCTTTAACTACATCATCATTAACTACCTAGGTATTATAATGCAGGCATTATTCTGTGGAGAAACTTATTTACCTTTATTAAAAAGGTTTACAAATTCTTTGGAATAATTATGAAAATTGTGAAGAACATTTTGCAAGGATATTAAAATATAGGAAATATTTTACAGCAAAAATAATTGGAATTTTTTTAGTAGTGTTTTTTTTCAAATTGGTTACTTCCTCACAACAGATTTGTCAGTATAATATTGTTTTGCTAATAATTAAATTTATATTTTTTGCAGGTTCTTGTATTTTATGAAATGAGATGATATTTGGCATCCATTTTACCCTACTTTCTTGGGTGTTCTGTTCATGGTTATATCCTGTATGGCCATTACCATGGAACCTCCAACCTAAGTTTGATCACCCAATGGTAACTCCAGTTCTGAGTGATCCCTAAATTCCAACTCACAAATTACATCCCAGTTTATTCCTTACCTGAGTTTACCATTGCATTGCCATTCTTATTGCTGCTATGTGCTATCCCATATCTCTAGTCTTTGAAACTCTAGTTACACCTTGGAATTTGTAAACACCATTCACTATCAAGTGAGAAACTTGCAGAATAATCTTGTGCAAAATTATTCAGTGAAGAACCTTGCACACAAAATGCTAGGCAGCAGCAAAGGGATGGCTGGAGGGGAGAGGGGAGGTCCCTCTATGTTGGCAACTTTAAAAGTGCGTGTAGCAAGACTTGAGGCAGCTCTACGTGACAAAGAGGCTGAGCTCTCAAGGCTTCAGTCATCTACTAAAGTCACAGCAGCAAATGAACTCAGAATACAAGCTCAGACTTATTATCAAGAGGTCAGATTACAAATTTATTTTCTCTCTCTAATTATATCTGAACTTCCTTCATTTGAATCAAAATCACTTGAATGCCAAGTTATATATAGAAATATTACCTGATAATTTTTTGGTTTAAAGTTACATTTCTCTCAAAAAAGTTCAACCAACTACTTGTTTTCTTTCATTTATATAATTTGCTTTTAGTAGGCATTGCTAGGTGTAAATAGTTGCTTTCCTAAACTGGGGGAATCTGGAATGATTTGTTCCAAAATCCTTGTGCTTGGGATGTTTTAAAGCCTTTTTATGGAACTAAGTTTCTTGACTTCTGGTTTAATGTCCTGCATTCTAGTTATTTAGCTTTTTCCTCCACCCTGCATGTAATAGGAATTTCCTTGTTTTGTGTTACAATTTTCTTATGTTGTAGCATTGGAAACTAACCACTGTTGAGTTGCACCATTTTTTGTCAGATCTGAAATTTGAATGTGTCTCCTAAAAATTGTCTATGCATATTTACATTCATTGCATGGAGTGCCTCTGTTTTGCCTATATGGCATAAATTTGTTATGGATCATAAAATTTTTTGCCTTCGTGAAGGTTGTGCGGTTGCGCAACCAGCTGAACATCAGCCAGCACGCAGCTGTGCCCATCCTTCACACTCAATCTGACATCACATCTGATGATGTTGGTGCTGCTGGTTCCCACTCACACAACACTGCCAAACATCAAAAATTTCTTCATGAAAGGAGTGAGCTTACAAGTTACAAGTTATCAAACATGGACTCTTCTCCACATTCAAGTTTCACGGCAGACCTGCCACCCTCTCCACAACCACCTTTGCGAGAGGATGAAGAAACTCTGCGGCAGTCTGTATTGAGTTTACATGAGGAGAATGAGAAGTTGAGGGAACAGGTCACCACATTAGTCAACACCATGCGCAACTCAGACCAAGGTGATATATGCTAAATATCTAGAGATGGATTCCATACTGGTTACATGCTGGTGCACTGTCTGGTCATATATATACCAGTTGAGCATATTTTGTCCCATGATAAGTGCATACTGCATAGTTAAGTCATGCAATGGTTCATCCATCTTGACTGAAGAAGGTATTCATTGTCTGTCTAGATTGTAGAATGCATTCATCATTAATCTTGATTGCAGAAAACATCCTCAAATTTTCTCTATAAAAACATTTTCAAATTGATATTGAATGTTAATGAATAAATATCAACTTGTGATCAAATATATACCTGTGGAAAAATCACTTGACTATAAAACTTTTATTTATATAAATTTTTCTTCATCACAGATGATTTTTATATATTATGTCCATTTTTGGCATTAAATACTGTCATCTCCTGTGTACTGTAGGAATGAGCAATAGCAGCCGTGAAGTCCTGGAGAGACTGCTGCTAAAGTTAGAGGATAAGGGCTTTGGCAGCAGTACTGATGGCAATACATCAACTACACAGGTAAATAAAGACATTGAAACACACAGTTCTGGTTCTCTTTTGTTGAAAAATGTACAAGAACTTGGTGTGTGAAACTGGTGCATGATATTCATTTATGCTGTCTGTAAAAATGACAAGTATTTCCAGACATTCCTTTAAATACTGCCTTCAACTGATGTGCCTAGGTACCGTGTATGAGTGGCTGAAGTGAAGACAGTCTTTAAATTTTCATTATTTTGCCATAGAATTCCTGATTAAGCAGCTGCTCTTAAACTAGCAAGGACACTCAAATGGTTAAACTGAATCTAATGATTAAAATTTAAACTTGTAGTAACAAATATGTTTTCACATCCCATTTTTTCTTTATTTCTAAGAATTCAAAATTATTATTGTGTAGCGTCTTATTAAAAAATTTACCAGTTTACTAATACGAGTTATGTCTTTGAAAAGTATATTTTCTCATGGGCTGTTTTTAAATTATCATAAAATGATTTATTTTCTCTAGCAGATGAAGATGGCTGAGCTGCGTGGGAAGGAGCTGGAGTGGGAGAGAGAGCGGTCCAGCCTCAGAGAGTTGATATCTACGCTGCAGGAGGACCGCTGCTACTACAAGGACACAGCTTCTAAGAAGGAGTCAGTTTACAGTTATATTTTCTGTTAAAACTTCAGTATGGATCAATTATTTTTATTCAATTTCTGAGTAGGAATTTTTAATTTTCCTCATATTATTGTAAAAAGAACTTATAAGTTCATGAAAAGTCAACATATAAATTACATTTTTTAGAATAGTCTGAGAGTATTAAACTGTTGGACAAAGTGGAAAATGAAAGGTTCTTAAGATTGAAAACTGTTGATACCCATCTTGATTTTTTTTATGTAGAACATTCATGTAGTGAGGCAGAAGTTGTTTATTGAAGTCCAGAGAGCATGTATTATCAATAATTTCTATTTCTATTTTCATCAATTTAACAAATAATAATTTTATTTAGTTGTTTGATCATCTTATTATTATAATGCTACATTCTTTGAAAACTTTGTTTAAAATTCTATACCCTACTAAAAGTTTTATTTAATGAAGTGAGAAAAACAATGAGAACTTATTGATAAGAAACACACTATGATGTTCATCAAACTTTGGATTAAATTTCAATTCATGTCTCCACAATAATTTACTTGTATATCTTCATACTGGACTGGAGTGTGCACAAACATTTGGCAAGTGCAATTTCCATGCAGAAGATCTTCCATAGAGAGACTCTCTTGTGCCACTGTGTTATAGAGAAACAAATGTCCCTCATTATTATGTTCATTGCCACCCCTATGGGAGTTTTCAAGTCTATGTCGGTACAGTGCAGAGCATGCAGCAGCAGGGTGCACTCTGATGCTGCACAGTCACTACGCCTTAGTCAGGTGGTTCTAAGTTCTGACTTGCTTATCTGCTTCTGTAGATTCTTCAACAAAATTCCCTGTATTTGTAGTTTAATCATCCCCAGTGTAAGTATGGTCCCTGGGAACTGAACTAAGGTGGTCAAATGGAGCCTTATAATTTTCAGGTGACTTTGAGAAGAGCGATTAACTAAGTTGCATCTTGTCTTGAAATAAGTTTCTTGTTAAGCTGGATAAATTAAGGTGCTATGGAAAACAGTATAACTCTGAAAGTTATTAATTCCAGTTTTTGGCTTGTTGGTGCCTAATAAATTTTTGTCTGTCATTATCTAATTTGTTGCTGAACTTATTGCTGCAGTTAATTACTACAATGGGTGCAGTGGTTGCACACAAAATATAAATGATAGTTGTTCACTGACCTACACTTACTCATTAATCCTCATTAAAAAGTTAACAATTGTAAGCTTCCTAGATAGTCGTTATTTTCAACAATTTGCTGCTTAGTGTATAGGCTGCTACCAAATTAGCATCTTGTTTTGATTTATTCTATATTTATTTTATTTTGTGGCATTTAAAAATGTTTTAGTTTTTCTATAATTTCAGTTATAATCTTTAGCTGAGCCTGCTGTAGCTTGTTTGAGCTTCTTGGCCAGTGTGGAATGAAAGCTATCATGCAAGTTTTCTATAATGGCTCTGAGATGAGCTACGTCTCAGTGCAAGCCATGAGACATTTATTTTTTGGCTCATCCTTGGTTAAAAATAACAAATTCCAATACTTTATGCTCACGAATGATGATGGACGCTTGTGATGAATTCAACTTAATGCTTTTTATTCATGAAGTGCAACCCAAGTTTGTGCATTAATTTCGCTGCACTGTGAGTGATGGCTTGTGCACCAGGGCTCACATGCGTTGCTCATTGCAGAGACGAGATGGCGAGGCTGCGGAGCGAGATGTTGGCGCTGCAGCAGCAGATGATGTCCCTCAAGAATACAACTGCAGGCAGCAGCAGAGCGCCAGTGCGTCCCAACCAGCGACTAACACCACGTGTCTGTCAGTACTTCTTATTACTGAGAAATCAAAGAATTTCACTCGGCACTCGAGAATAAAGCAAACTGAGAATTAATGTCGGTATATATTTGATGGATGAAAACTCTACTTTTTCTTAAAGAAAAATCTATTAGTTTGTCCATGCATTCCATGATATTTTTTTCATGCTTCTTAAATGTCCTCATGTTGTCACTTCTTTTGTATCTTGCTTAGTCATTGCTTGCTCTGCTTCACAAATGCCAGCTATGTGGACAAGACCTTCAAAATCTCAAACTTTATTTCACAATTAATTTTCCTGTATTGTATCAATTTTAGGTTTTCCAACCAGTAGTAATTTTTCATTTAAATAACTCAATCAGTTTCATAAATTGTGGCTAATGTTATAGTACATCAATTTTTCGTTTACTATATTATATTTCTTTGCCATGGAATATTTTGGGTCGAAAATGGTTTTATTTGAAATAGTTTTCATTGTAAATTTATAATTTAATTATTCTGCACTTTCGCATGTGTGTATGGTTCTTAATTATTCTCTGGTTCAGCGGGGTCAGCCTCCAGCAGTGAGAACAACTCCTCCACGGGCCGCCGCACGCAGTCCACCGTCCGAGGCGGCGCCCCCAGGCCTCACGTTGCTGTTGCGCGGTCGTCCGCATCTTCGTCGCGTTCACAGACCACGTCACGGTCGTCGAAAGCCTCGAGTGAACCTCGCGAGTTGCCGCCAGCGATGACCACGACCAGCCACGGCGCGGCGATCAGCAAGAGAGATCAGCAGCTTTCGACGAGCGCTAGGCTTGCCAGCATCAAAGTTCCTGCGCCTCGCACCCCCGCTGCTCGTGGAGGTCCTGTAGCTGTGAAGAAGCTGTTGCCTGCCAACAGGCGAGATGCTCCTACTGCAGTGCAGGGCCGTAGTGCCAGCACGGCTCCCAGCAAGACACGTGTGGCTGTGACTTCTTCCTCTCAGTCTGCGTCTGGCAGCGGTAGGTCAACAGCTTCTTCATCTACTGCCTCAAGCAAGACCAATTCTCAGAAGGGTACACCCTTACCTTCTCCAACAAAAGTTCAAGTTCCAATTGCCAAATCTAGGACCATCGCTTCCAATGGGTACAAATCTTCCAATTCAGTTTCCTCTAAAACTCCTAAAACTAAATCGTCTTCAAGTTCTAGTCAAAGCTCAAGACAAAGTTCCAAGCCGAACTCGACACCTTCCACACCTTCGCGTTCTTTGGTAACATCGCCATCTAAGACAAAGTCTATCTTACCTTTGGATAATGGCGGAAAATCGTCTCCAAGAATTTGTCAGCAGCCGTCAAAAACAATCGCTATTTCGGTAAATATCAATTCCATCGATAAGTTACCTACTGCTTGAATATAAGGCTTCTTAGATCAATCATTAACTCTTAGTTTCGCGATTGATGAGTGCAATGCTAACTTATGTATTATATCTTTAATTTTTATATAGCAGATGCAGCCTCTAATACCAGTGTCATTGTATTATAATTTGGATAAAAATGTTTTTGGAGCTTATGTAATTATCCTCAACAGAACTTTGAATAACTTCTTCAATGGTTACCCGCTCTCTTACCGCGGCAAAAAATTAGTGTTCATGATCATCATGTTGTGAATTTTTGAACTGTGTTCCATTGATTATCTAATAACTCCCCTCTACCTCAAAGAAACTCCTGCGTCTTTTTATGCATACAACATTCACAGGAGGAAGACGCTGACGTTCTGGTGGCTTTACTACAACCCGAGCCTCTCGAGGCTGGGCTCAACAATGGCAGCATTGGAGCAGGTGAGGTGGTTGCTGAACTCACACGGCAGCGGACTATGACCCTCAGCTGGGACTCTGGTGGAGGTGGCGACACTGACGACAGCTGGGGTGCCACCTACAGGAGCAGAGGTGTTGCTCCGGGCCAGTCAAGCGAAAACTCGGACTTGCCTGCGAAAGATGCGCTGCCGGATCCTAGTGACGACGTCACTCAAGCCAAAGAAACAAATAGTTCCATATCACACAAAACTCAGTCTCCTGCTCACGAAAGGGCCAGTGCAGGAAATAATTATGTAAGCTTTCGTTCTAGCTTTCCAAATAATCAAATCTTGTACTGAAATTGTAGTATTTTGTTTTGTACGTCACTAATTTTTATTTCTAATGCCTGTTCAGTGCGTTATATCGCCACATTAGCAATAATTCATCTTGTCATTTCCATGATGCATATTATAATTACTTGAATTTTTCATCAGGCTGTCAGCAGCGTTGACGAATTAAAGTGCTTACTGCAGTCGCATCTTCATCGGCAGCAGAAACTCAACCAGCTTCTAGAACAAGAGCCCGTGCTTGTGCAGACATCTCCTGTTCGCGTGAGACTGTCATGTTGATCTAGTACTGTTCTGAGGATTCAAAGTTTTGTTTCCTATGCTACAGCGCATCATTTTATTTCTTTAAAGTCTACATATATCAGTGTTGCTCTCTGATGATTGTTTTTGGTGGTGTTAATCCGTGGGCGTTAACCTTCGGTGCAGCTTTTATCAAAAGCTTTTGGATCTAACCTTATGACATGAATGTGGAATGTTCATAATGCACATTGTTTCTTAATGAATTTTTCTTTACAGTCTCTAATGACGGTGAAACAAATGAAGAATCGCAAGAGCCACCGCAGGTCTCCTGACGGTGCTGAAGGTAATCATAACGTGCTTGAATCATCAATGATTGCCGAGTCGCAATGTAAGTCACTCAGTTCTCCATCACACTCCGCCAAGGCCCTCAGCTCTCCCTCACACTCCGCCAAGGCCCTCAGTTCTCCATCACACTCCGCCAAGGCCCTCAGTTCTCCATCACACTCCGCCAAGGCCCTCAGTTCTCCATCACACTCCGCCAAGGCCCTCAGTTCTCCATCTCACTCCACCAAAGCCCTATCGTCTCAAGTGAAAGCTACTAGGCTGCCGCAGTCTCCTCTTCATCGCTCTGCATCAGCCACGAGTGGGTCAAGCGCTGGAACTCCGAAGTCACCACATGCACCAAGCCCCACTAAAGCCCTCTCCACTGGCAGTGAATTAGTTTCTCGTTCTACCAAGCTTAAGAAAAGAAAATCTTCTGCCAGTCGTTCGGGTGACAGCGAAATGTCGGTCTGCAGCCCTGGGATAGTTCGGCAGGGTACATTCAATTTGGACGAAAGCGAGGCGTTTATCAGCAAAAGTCATATGGGTGAAGCTGGAGAGAACTGCGAGCTTGGTGAAGATGGCTGGTTGATCGATGACGAAAAGGACAGTGGGGAAATTTTGAGCGCCACCATTGCTGCTCATGTATCCCGGATGCGTCAGATACAAGACCTTAAGAAGTAGATTTCAAATTTTCTTAATTCGATACGCCTAATAATTTTGCTCGAATTGTTTAAAAGACTCCCGGTCAGTAGACTCTCTTGGTGCGTAAAACTTCCTGGTAAATTTTCCTAACAACAGTTTTTCAAACGCCTGGATTCGTCAAAGTAGCCTAAATACAAAACGTGGCAGAATATTTTGATAAATTGTTGCTCATTTTACCTGATCTTGCCATCGCTTTCTGAGCGGCACTGCTCTAAGCAAAGAATATTGGTAGCAAGCACATTACTATGCTACCAAAGTACCTCATATCACCGGCTGTTAGTGAAGAAGCGGCTTCCATGACCACGATGTTCCAAGGCTGTAGACAAAACGTTTTACTTCTATTAGTATTTCAGCCAATTTAGTGTTCCGTACTTCTTGCAATTATCCACCTATTGTTTTATATAGTCTTCCATTCTAACTGCAACGTACTTAACTCAAAAAAGGGTACCATGAGCATGAATTGTACTTAATGATTTTTTTTATGTAGCTGCCTCGCTATTGATTGCCATAGAACCTTACCAAAAAAAAGAACGATCAATTAACTTGGATTGATGTGAAGGCAACTATTCTATCGGTCGCTGATTTTTGTACCGTACATTGGTGCTGTGAGTAGTATATGGCTTTGCTTTCTCTTGGGCGAAGAATAGGTATTATAATGCTGACATGCGTATTTTAAGTATTTTCTTGTGTAGTATTAACGTTCGACGTGTACGGTATTATAAATGAATAAGTGCCCAACCTCAGCAATTTATTGTTTTCGCGCTTCTCATGTTTGGCTCCGGGTAACGTTACACAGAGATTCAATGTACGAAGCATCAAGTACATGCTAGCGATTTTCGGTAAAAAATATCTGATAAAGAGAAAACTGTGGAATTTGATTACTGAATAGCAGTGATGACTAGGTAATGTAAGTTACATGGTTTCGAAACGTGTGCCTCTTAACCATTTTAATATATGCAAATAACTAGTCTTCATTCAGTCTGCTGTTGCAAATGGTTCGATGCTTCCTAGTGCTGTGGCCAGAGTAGTTGGTTGGTTTCTCATTTTTTTGAGTGCATTGTTTTTTTCTGGAGAAACAAACTAATTTTTCGGTGCTAATTTTTCTTGCTTTCGTGTTATAGTCGCTTCTCAGCTTCATGAAGACGAATTGAGTTCACAGTGAAATAACATTTTATTGTTGAAGATATAAAAGTCATTTTCAGGGTTTAAGAAGCTTTGAGGTTTTGCGTTCCCCTGCTTGTTCCTATACCAACAGGTTTATTAGGTAGACCGGTTTCATGAATTTTAGTGTTCTTATTCCTTCCTCAAGGAAGTTTCTTGTTTGGTAGAGTTTTGTTTGCTCCCTCTTTCACTAGCTCGATGAGTTTCTGGTTCAGAATTAAATGTGTAGGTTCCATTTTACTCTGACGGTATTTCGTTTCATTCTCGTTAGATGTGTTATTTTTTTTAGCTAGCAGCGTATTTTAGACTTACGCTAGTTGAATTTTTCGCCTGCATTTGTGTGATGCTCCGTTGGAATTTTGTTTGATCTCACTGGATTGGTAGTCTCGTATTCAGAATTTGAACACAACTCCATTGCAGAATATTTCTGATTCATTTAAGGAAAACCCTTCAAGTAAGCATTGATCTGTAGAATGTCTGGATTGAGATAAAAACAATTTAGGTATGTTCCACTTCAGTTACACCCAATGATCACTTGCCCTCTTGATTTTGTGTTCTCCAAAAGAAATTTGACTATACTCGACTTCTAGTCATATTTTTGCTGTTAACTTATTTCACGCGTGCTTCTTAGCCCAATGAACGAGCAGACTTATCGTGGACATCTCTTGCTATCTAGTTAGCTCTCGTTGACTAATGCGGGGGCCGCCGAATTTTTTTTTTTTTTTTCATCAAAGGCCAAGAGAAAGTTTCTGAAACCTTCGCGGGCCGGTCACGCCCATTTACTGTTTTCAGTTCATGCGTACGCCTTACCCGAAATAAACGCCACGCTCGATTTTTGCACACATCATGTTGAACTACGAGATATCCTCGGCGGGCCGGATGAAACATAGCCGCGGCCCGTAGTTTGGAGACCCCTGGGCTGATGCATTATATATCTCACAGATTAATCCATCTCTCTTCGACGATTTTTGTTCAATTTGTGGTGATAATAACGATCTGTTGTTCAAGATATTTGTTTGACTAGAATTAAATAAAGTTAACGGTTACCTTTCATTTATCGTTTTGCCAACGCAACTATGTATCCTAACCATCTCGTAGACTTACGGCCCTTTTTCCTGTACGTTAATATTTGGAGTTGCCGGCAATTAATCATGGTGGTGACCAAACTATTTTTTGCTTTTAATAATAAGATGAAAATCAACGTTGGTCTGTATATTGATCTACTTTTAAGAGGATGAATTTCTATAATAATTAACATATTATTATTTCGAGTATCTCTTCGGGATATAGCAGGTTTCGATTGTAGTTCTTGGGGAACGCTTAGAGTTTTCGCAAGATTTCTCACAAGATAACGAGCTCTTATGATACACGCAATTAGTGGAAATTGTGCGTGTCATATATTGTGACGAGGCAACTGTTGTTCAATTAGTCTCCTTCCATGAGCAGCTATCGGCTTTGCCCTTTTAAATACCATGCATCCTACATTCTCTTGTAATGGCAGTTCGTTCTTAAACTTAAAAACCTTGTATTCAAAATAAGATTGGAATGGGTTCACTAGTGCTCGCGTTTCTGAATCATAAACTTCAGCTAATATTGTAAGACATCCTCCTCTCTTCCTGACCTCGTACGTGCCTTGCAGCTCTGGCTCCTCTGTTAACCTGGAGTTGATTTTCTCCAGTGAGCCTCGTAGGATACGAACGAACCTTGTGATCAACATTATTTTGACCTTCGTGCACTTCTGTTGATGTGTGAATTCCGAGTTGAGCTAATATTCGTGTTGCTCAGCAATGAAACTGCTTTCTTCATGCCACGTTCTTGCAATGCGTGTGTTAAAAAGAAAAAATAAATTTGGCCTTTAAATTTATCCCATTGTTAGATTAAGACATAACGAATCCTACGAGTTAAAATGCTTTATTTCTTACACACTCGAGGTGCTAAGGGTGCCGACGATTTGTGAACATCAACTTGGTAATAATACTATCGTAAAAATCCTGCCGTTCCCCAAGTTCCCTGTTCCTCAAATTATGAATTAGTACAACTCTCATGGATGAAAGAACATATTTAAAAATATTCGTTGATTTATTCAAATCGCAAAATATACGGTATATTGCTCAGTCATAGCAGAGGTAACTTATGTTTGGAACAATAAATATTGACATCGTATTTGAGAGTTCCTATCTTTATCCTTGTCCGCGCTCCACGTTTGCTAGCAACTGAAATGAGCAAATGAAAATGAATATATATACATGAAATACCGCAAATTGAGTGGAATTTGTACGTACCTTAAGTCGGTTTTAGCTCCTACTCTTCAAAAGGACTAATAAAATGGAGGCTCACAAGTCAATAACGAAACAAACGCTTCCTAAATTTAGGAAACAGAAGTCACATCTTTATGCAAAGCTGTTATGAAAAGAAAAATGCTAGTCTGTTATTGAGCTTCATCATAAGTGCAGACTACTCTTCACCATCCCTCATAGCCGCGATAATGCGGGAAGCACCGCTCACTGAACACCTTGCGACCTCTCTCACGAAGGATTTCTTCTATTGCAATCTCGTTTCGCAACTCACGAACCTGCGAGGAATTAATTACAAATTGAGCTTTATTTATCGGCATGGAAGTGCTCGTAATAGGTAGCATGTCATACCAGCATTACCCACGTATGGCAAAGCATTACTAACTAACGAAAATCGAGATTTATAGAAGTTTTCACAGCTCAATGTTTTTCAATTTTAACAAATGAAAAAAACAAACCTTTGATCTCTCTGATTTGATCCTGTTGTTAATAGATGTATCAGTAGAAGGATCAATGGATCGTAACTCCGTCAGTCTAGTTGTAGTTTGCTCCAGACATCTTTCCAGGAGCTGACTTCTTTCCTTATAATTAGCAGCTAGCTGTTAAACAAAAAGGGCGAACATGGATATGAGTTGAATGCATTTTTCATGAAATTTCTATATCAAATCATTGTTATCATCAACCAAAGGGCAATGATAAGTAGGTGCCTCAGAAACAGTTTAAGTACTTATTGACATTCAGTTGACGCACCTCCTCGAAAAGTTGTTTACACTTAACAGCTGGGTCGATTGCATCTCTGAATGACTGGGTCGGGGTTGCAAGGTTCAATGCATAAATGATTTTATCATCAACCACTCTCAGGTTCCTCAGCAGATACTGAAATTGATGAAAGTCAAATATTTACATTAATTTAATACACATTAGTCAGCAGCTGTAAACAATATTTTTTTACACATTTACTTCAAGTTCTACCCATGTCAATAGATACCGTACGTATAGTAATAACTTCTATCCTAAAAATCATTATAGGCCTTTTTTAAATACGAATATCTTGATTACACTATTCATCATACATTGAAAATATTGCAATTTGTCAATATAATCACATGTTTTCAACAAGACATTTCCTAAGCTTCAATAAAATATCTCACAAGGTACTAAACAATTTACTGAAAAATACCTAAAATCTGTGCAAAAAAAGGCTCCATCTTGCCAAAAAATTTTTGTCACATGTATCATAATCTTTCATGCAAGGCTTCTACAAAAGTTAAAACCTTTATCAATTACATGCTAAAATTTCTACAATATCATTGAAGATTTGTTGCCAGAACTACCAGATTACAGTATGTAAAAAGGTCATTTATGGGAAATTTATTGACAAGATCTTCTGAAGACATAGATTTTATTGCTCACTCATGCTAAATATGTGCCAAAGATCTTCATATATTTGCTTACTTATGCTAAATTTCACTATACATTTTCACACACATGAACAGGGAAAATATCCACCTGTTAGGCTGATACTAGAGCAGTAGAGCTTTATCAGATATTTTTGAAGACATAAAATTAACACTGAAGTTTTCTTGTGTAGAACTTTTGTCTGATATTATTGATAGAAGTGCAAAATTGAGCTGTTAATGCTTAAATTTATCCAAAATTTGCATTTTTAGTACCAAAAAATTAAGTTACAATCAATGAGTAAGGTGTATATATCTAATCATTAACAACTGCCCATGCACACCAGTGACACAACCTATTCTAACTAAGAGGCTAGTAGGACTGTAGGAGCAACAATAACCTGCACATCCTCACAGTTTGTGACTTGTCTGGCAGCCATCTCTGTATTTTTACTTAGTAAATTCACAACAATAATGAATAGATGTAGAATAACTTTAATGGTTTGACTGTTGACACTGACAGCTCACAAAAAACCATCTGTAAAGAAAAAAAAATACACTGAAAAGATGCATGAACAGCATGATGCAGATGTATCTGATACTCTCATGAAAAAATAACAAACATGGTTAAAATAAAATGTTCTGCTTAATAATTTGGGCTCAAGATTGCAGATACAGCCTAGCATCTGGAATCTGAGCATTGTCAGCTCAGCTTCATAGCATTAGCATTTAGCATGGTCACTGGTCAGTAAACTGATTACGGTAGTTGAGCAAGTTGACTTGGCTCATCTTGAAGTTGAGGTTATCTTATTTTCACCATATTATCAAGCATCAGCTATTATTTAACTTTATTATTAATGTCACTGTCAGTGTATGATTGATTGAAAATAACTATTGAGATATTATTTATTAAAAACACTTATACTTTATTAGTCATTCAAGTTATAAACAATGTGAATCAACCTACTGATAGTTTTGCCACCCTTTTTGGCAAAATCTATAAACGGGTTGCACTTTACTGTATTACAATAATTGTGTCAATGTTCATGTCGCACATTCAGGCACAGGCTAGGGGATCATAGTTGTGCATGTGTAAATAACGTGCTTTTCCATTTTATTTGTCTGTCAAGATTAAGTACCATATTAAACCACAACATGTAGTTGTAGCAAAAATCATTTAAATTACCAAGCTCCAATCAGAATGGTAAAAGGATACCAGGGTTGGCGATTTTTTTGATTTTTTTAAAAAAATCAAAAAAATCAAAAATCAATGACTTTTTTGATTTTTTCATGATTTTTTTTATTTATTTGATTTTTTTTTTAACTTTTTTGTCTTTTTGATGTGTTTTTCTTATGTTGCAATTAGCCTACTAACAATAACAGTATATGGATCATAATGGATGGCTAAAAAAGAGCACTTATTGCCTTCAATAATGGCCAACAGGCCAAGGTGGTGTTTACCACTTAGGGATTTTTGGGTAAACAATTATTGGTACTATGTCTATTCATTAGCTTTGTAAAGTTTGTATGGAGCAAGGTAATAAGCTAAATATTGACCATTCAACTGGCTTCAATATACAAAAACACTTCAGGAATGCAGATCTTCTAAACATTGAAGTCACATAACAGATAGGTAGCTGATAGCACAGTGCACAGCACTATCAATAGATCCACTAGTTTTATGTCCTAAAAATCTACCAGACTCTACCCTCTATACACACCGACTAGTAGTGACTGTAGCTGACAGCACAGTGCACAGCACTATCAATAGATCCACTAGTTTTATGTCCTAAAAATCTACCAGACTCTACCCTCTATACACACCAACTAGTAGTGACCTGTGACTGTACCGTCAACCGGGGCTACTCGGGACAGGTGGGGCTACTCGGGACAGGCCTATGACACGGCGTAAAACTGTTGTAGTAGCGAAACTAATTGGAATATCTCGATTTCTTTCTTTGGGGACATCTAAAAGAGAAGTTCAGAAGTTGCCCTCACACCCTACCACAGCTAAGGGGATGGATTATTGCAGCAGAGGTTATGGCCATACCTCGCCATATGTGTGAACGTGCTGTAGGAAACTTCCAAGAACGACTCCAACAGTGTGATGCAGCTAACAAACCCCATTTTCCTGATATTGTTTTCAAAACTTAAGTATTTTAAATGGTAAGTTATGCTAATCTTGAGGAAAATAAACAACTTTCTTCTTTATGTACCTCCATTACTCTTTTATTTTGCCCCAAAACTGTTCAATCAGTTCTGCCCCACCCTGTATAAGCTAGCTAACACATTTAAATTGTATATTGTAATCAATATATAACAAATAGTCAAATAGTTAAAGACTACGTACTTATATGCCTTATAAGAATTAGCTAAGCTGCTAGCTACGTACAATGTATTGCACACATGATGCCTCTACCAAAAACATTCAATTTATTGGAACCTAATACACACTAAAGGCAACAAGTTTATATACCAATTTGTCATTTATAGTACACTTATACTAAACCATGAATAACAATACCTCAATATAAATTAAAGACTGCCACTCAATATATATAAATATATGAAAAAATAAAAAAAATAAAAAAAATCAAGTGATTTAATCACATGATTTAATCATTTTGATTTAATCATTGCCAACCCTGAAGGATACATCTCAAGTTATTATATAAACATATGATGGTAAGCCAAAGTTTACACCACATCAATAATTGATTCATCTCGTTATTTCTCGTTATATCTCGTTAAAATGGCTATAAATTCCAGGAAATTGTAAGCTACCTATTTTAACCGGGATGTCTTGTCTTGTCTTGGTATCGTCCCGGAATGCCTACGGACGGCTGAAAATTGTCCCGGTTTTTATTGCGAACCGGGACAGAGCTTGTTGTCTCGTCTTGGATACAAAAAAAAAAAACCAAACGTAGGAGAATAGTGGCAAATCAGAGATTTTTTAGAATCAGTTCATTTTTAATTTCCTCATTTACTCAAGATTTTAACAGATTTCTTATCTATGATAATTCTGGTATCCAAGATACTTTACTGGTCTACTTATAGGACTCAAAAATAAACTTGAGGAAGAGTCTAAAAACTCTCTGCTTTGCCACTATGCGCAGGAGTGAGGAGTCTACTAGTGCAGGCATACAACTTCCAAGTGATTAGGAACTTTATAGAAACTGAGCAAGTTAGCGCAGGCATGGAATATATCTACTTGGAAAGCCACAACTGAATTTTTTGAGCTGTGGTTTCATGGATTTGCCAGCCATGATTCCATTTCTTTGAGCCGTGATTCCATTTCACCGAGCTGTGAATTCCATATCTAGGCCATGAAAAGCCATTTACGAGGCACAAATTTATTTACAAAGTCCATGCACGTGTTACCCCAAATCTCTAATTTTACCCTAAAACAGTCAAATGGCAAAGATAAAATTTGTCTTTACTGTAAGTTGAGCATGTGTTAATGCAGTCTGACCGCTTTGACATGACCGCAACAAAACATTTAGTTGATTTGTTTCCATTACGATGTTCATGTTTTTTCTGCAGGATATTTTGGCGGGAACAGTAAAGCAATGAGGATTGCGGAAGTTGAAAATTTTATGAAGTGACACGTTTGCGAACTGCAAAGTGCAAACTGCGATTTTTCAATCAAACAAAAATTTATGACGTTCGAGCCGCAAGATTTCATACCTACTGAAATTATATGATATTAGAGCCACGATATTTCAGACAAAAATAGGACTTTTCCAGCCCTGATTAGCGTATGTGTTTTAAGCCTTCAAGAAGTTCATTTTTTGCCTCAAATAACAATGTTGGGTAGAAAAAGTGGTCTTGGTGGATTGAAATAATATATGAACCTTTGAAATTAGAAGTCCATTCTGGAAGAAGGTGCGATGGAAGATGGATGCAGTACACTAAAACAATTTAGGTCTTTATTTTCTACGCTCTAGGATTAAGGCAACGTAATGAGTAATATTTTTTTTAGACTAAATTGAGATGTTAGTCATTGAAATGATGAATCATGAAAACATAGCAATTCTGTGAGAATGTTCACCTTGTTCAAGATCTCTTACAAAATCCGTGCAATGACGGTTTGGTGCAATTCTGTGAGAATTGTGAATTACAGTACTCCTGACCATAACCTTAAATTTCCGATCAGGTGCACACAGTGAAGAGTGAACCTTGGGCATTTGATTGTAGGCTGATTTAATACACATTATTACACAGGCAAGATACAGATGTTGGACGGGTTTAAGGCGGTGCTGATGTCCTCATATTCACTGCAAGGCTCTGGCATGCTCTGTCTGAGTCTGAGTGGTGCCAAATTTGTTCCCGCATTGACACCTTCTTTAAATTTTAACGATGCTGAGCCATCTGGCATCCGCCATACTTCGGCAAGCTAGTGAAGCTACTATCCAGTCTTTCCTCAGTTTCTTGATCTGCTGGCTGTGATGAGGAAAGGAATGTGACCCGTCTGCTAGCTTGCAGCAGAAAATGTGATAGTCCAAAAGAGTTTGAGACAACGTTCTTGAGGGAAGAGATCATGAAAGTCCATTCCAAGCACAAGGGTCTGCAGGCGCAGCCAGTCAGCTTCTTCTTTTCAAGGTGTCCACGTTGGGTGGACTGAAAGCCACAGGACAGCCACAAGGATGACCGTTGGGCCTGAGAGCTTATGTTATGTTGGACTTCTTGGTAAGGAAAGCTGGCCTCTTTGTCCTTGTTTGTACAAGGTCAATAGAGGTGATGGATGAGCTTGACAGCATGTAAGAGAATTTACACATGACATGGATAAGTTACATGCACACAGAGCACAGATGACTGTATGCAGTTATTCAGAAAAGTTGCACATGACATGATCATTGCTCCTCAGAACTGAGCACTAGATTTAACAGTTAAGTTAGATAGATTTATATAGGTACATGACATAGATTATGCAGGATGACATAGATTATGCACATACACAAACATATACAATATACATAGATACACTTGTACATATATAAGCTTCATTTTGATATTTTGGCACCTATCT